TTCCGATACACCTGCCAAACCTGTTTACTTTAGTCTTAAAGGACCCGTAAGGAAATAAAGCCAAATATAAAAGTATTTCAGTTCGTTTGGTAAATAATATTTTCCAAGAAATGCCGTGAACAAAGTAGCATGTCACAACTATAGACCATTATTTTTTAAGCTATATAGAGATCAAAGTTATTGTCAGCATTTTTGAATCAGGCAACAATGGGACACAGCAAAGAAAATGTCGTTTGACAACATTAGGACCCCTAGCGCGCTCTCGTGTACACAGAAGCACGTTCTGGACTGTCACAGGGAGCGCGCGGGGAACAGACAGACACGTGGTCGTGATGAGCGATATGAGCGATATTTCTAATTTTTTGCAATATTACGGTCTTTAAATAGACAGTATGCTTATATAAATCTGTATTAGGAGCAATCAATGTGTGATAAAAAATAAAAAAACATCCCCGCTGATTAAAACAGCTCAAAAGCTCAGTTATTTTTTAGCAAAGGTAAGAGTTTCCTAGAAAAACGTAATAGATTATGGTCAAAATGTTTATGTGGCTTAGCAAAGAGATTTATATGTTTGTTTTAAAGAAAAAACGCCAGCAATGTTTTACATTTTGGTCATTTATCTTTGTTTTCCACTGGCACTTTCCTATTGTGCCACAAAAAAGGGGGTAAGTTAGCCTGTGTTTGGAGAATTTCCAGGTCATGTTGTCCTTAACATACTTCTGAAAATATCAGATTAGAAGACGTTCTTGCTGTTAGCTTTTTTCAGAATATATTTTTACACAAATGGTCAGTTTTGTGTCTGTACGATTGTCTACAGTCCATGACATAATTTCTCTCTCTCTATATATATTATATATATTACATTATATTATTATATATAAATTTCAAGCATTTGAAGTTTATCTCAAATCATGACTTTAATCAAAGTCTTTAGATATACCAAGAAGGTGCTCTCATGCTACTCCAAATAGGAGAAAATGCAATGCACTCCGGTTGCCATGGAAACAGTCAGTGTGCTTAGGACTGCATATGCTGATCAGCCCATAATATAAGCTTATATATATATATATATATATATATATATATATATATATATATATATATATGAGCATAAGAAACAATATAGGAGAGGTTTATGTCAAATTTTGTAGCCTGGTTTCAAATGTGTCATTTAAATCTGAATTTGGCAACCAGTTTTTGAGATATCAGGATTCCCCCATTCACGTAGATAGGACTTTATCTTGGATGTCCGAAATATCTGCCCAGAGGCATTGCAAATATGGCAGAGTGAACATAATTTCCTTGAAAGGGACTTTGCTTTAATATCCCTTATATTGCATTTATAGATTTTTTTAAAGTTAGTATTTACCATAAAATTAAGAAAACGCAAGAGACTGTATTTTCTTGCTATCCTCGCGCATCATCTTAGCCATTCTAGCTAGCTTGTCATGTGCGCCCTGACAATGTCAAATGATCAAACAATCTTATGTACACATACAGTGAGGCCGAATTTTAAGACCCTATGCCTGAGATGACCCGCAATGTTCTGACTTCCAAATGGCAGTGGCAGAACATTCCTTTCCCTGCCTCTGCTTGGAAGCTGAGAGAAAGACGTGCAGCTCGCTGCTCCCATCTGGGCTTTATACAACCACCCCCTTGGTTGTCAGTCATCCACACCCAGCTATGTAAGAAATGTAACGTATGTCTCATCCTCTCTGCGTAGCAGACAGCATTCTGGCATTTAACAAACATAAACAGACCTTATGCAGATACACTACATCAAAACACAGTTACTGGTCTGATGTGTTCAACACAGCTTTCCATAAGTCTTTGTCATGCAATGGTCTGCAGAACCACTGTTTGAACTCTGACTCTATAGAAATCCTAAATTAAAGGATTAAAGACTGAAGTTTGGAAAATCTTCTAATTGATTTTGACTCTAAATTCTGAACATGACCAATGACCGTAACCAATGCAAGAGATTCTCAGGGGTTATTTTTGTAATTTCATTATCACAGATATGCTCTATAGGCTTAGATGTTTTAGGGCCTAATAATGGGAAAATCACAATGGATAGGATAGTATAGGATGTTTCTTGAGTGGCAAATCAGCATATTATAATGATTTCTGAAGGATCATGTGATCTGAAGACTGGAGTAATGGCTGCTGAAAATCTTAATTTTTCTTTTTATGAAGAATATTTTCTTTGGCCCACTTTATGACTCAATGTAATCCATATACAATTATGGGTATTTACTGTCTGTCAGCAAATTATTAAATGTGAATTTAGAGTAATAAACTTCAAACTGAGGTGTATTAACTTATTGGTTGGCATTTTTGTTTGGTCCTGATTGTAACATGATCTTTTGAATCTGGCACAAGGCTGGAAACCAGTTTAATACAACCTTTCGTACAGATTTCTCCAAAGACATTCCAATGTAGAAGCTTTGGAGGTTCATCATTAACAAAGCAAGTTTTGCCAAACAGTTTTGTGGAGTTTATGGCAGGGTGTTGTTTATAAAGGAAAGGATGGGCAAATTTCTTTTTTTCTGATCTTACATGCATCCTTCAGCCTTGATGCCATATATATGCTTGAGGAGCTTTCCTTGGCGGATACATTGTTACTTTGAACATTCTCAGATCATGTGCTCAACAAAGGTCTAGTAATCAGCTTATGGAGTTCTTTGAATGCTTCATGTCACCTTTCTGCGAACTTTTTCCAGCATATTACCAACTGGAGCTGGAAAGGGGAACCAGCATTAGAGCCTAGAATGGCTTTTTGTAGAACACCTATCCAGACAACTTACAAAATTAGACTTCTCAGTAATGATTTTGGCTTCTGTTAGAGCTGTCCCAAAGAAATTGTCCTTCAACTTTGTAAATGACAAAGCACAAAATGTCTATCTAAAGAAATGATTTGGCTAAAGCCAAAATTCCTAGAATGCATTTATTTGGAAAAACCATAAATATTAGCCAAATTTAACAATTTCAGTATATGATGATGATTTTCACATCCCATACGGTAAAACATGCATTAATAAGTTTTTGATATTTGGCCATTAATAATAACTATTAATATTTAAATTTTTTTTACATATTTATATATATATACATATATATATATATATATGTTTGTAATATGGAATGGGTTGCATGATGAATCTGTTAGATGGACGCTCAAACAGAATTTTAGACTGATTATATCAAGAATTTTTAAAATAAAGCTTGATTATAAAGCAAATACATGTTGCAGTGCTGTTGCTCAGTTGCTCATGTCACAATCGTTGCATGCGGTTAAGGCTTACGTGGATGTATGAGTCACCAGATTTTGAATGGTTAATTTATAATCATCAGGTCAGATTTGGCCAGTGCTGTTCCTGATCTTTGGTTTTAAATCACTGCTATCTGCCCATCCGTGTCACTTTACATTGCCACCAGTGGCTATGTAACACCCTATGGCTATGACAAAAACCAAATACGTATAACCAGTATGCATTTAATTTCCTGCATTATTAAGTTACAGATATTCCAAAGTCTTTGTATGCTTCTCTGTCATAATGGTAAATGTAGCATTTGTTGCTTTGTACTCTTACTCTTACTTGGCTGCTGCCCAAAATTATAGTCAGACCAGCTAAACCACAGTGTTGGCTTCAGGTAACTAGTGGGAGTTCCTACGCAAGAAAGAAAGAGATACACAGACATTACCTCAGCAGAGTGATATAATTGCTTGCAATATGGCTGAACGTAACAAGAGAAAGTTTATGCAGTGAACTTGGATGCTAGATGGTCCATGAGTACTCATGTTTTCAGCAAAACAAGAATTTTCTTTTTCTACTGAAATGTAGTGATTCTACCTTTATTTTATGGGATGTTTGAACTATAATGTAGAGCATTTAGCAAAGGTATAGAGCATTTTGTTTTACTCACTGTTTTGTGAGTTAAAGATGGCTAGCTGATCTTTGTTTCCATGCGCCAATTAGACACATCATCTGCTTGTATGCAAATTAATCTTTCTTTGTATCTTCTTTAATTTTGTCATTCATTAATTTAATTGTTCTTAAGCTTGAGCACAAGTGTCACTAGCATGACTAGACAAATTAAGTAGGAGAACTCTGGAATAGTAAACCAGAGATAATAGAGGGTTTTTACCATGATTCACTAACAGACAGCATACTTATGTTAACTTATAAGTCAGGTTGATGGACTGCTGCTTAATACCAAACTGTAGACATCCCCAAAGACTGGATTGGAATCTAAATAGCTATAATGATGAAATTTCCTCTGCTTAATGGACACTAATCAAATTTGCTGATAAACAAACCAAAAAAAATCACCCATTTTTTCCTTAAGAATTTTAAATGTTTTGTCTTTCGCCTTTTGCCTGAGTTGAATGCCAATGCAAACATTATTTCAGAAGACTGTCACTTAAATGTGCTATTATTACTTAGCTAAGAGCAGAGTACTACTTTCCCACACCCTTAAATGAGTCTCATACCTCTCAAAGATGAGTTTACAGCCAAAATGAAGTGGGAAACTATGAAAAGCAGCAACAGAATCGCATTTATTAGAAATAAATAACTTAAAATTCATACGTCAACACCCTTTAAGCATTATATAACAGTCATGTTTATTTAAAGATCATATATTAAATATATATATATATATATATATATATATATATATATACACACACACACACACATACAATATATATCCTGTATATATTTACAATATTTACAAACTGAACTCTAAGTTAGGTGTTTATACATTTGACAATAGCAATATTTAATAGCTTGAATGTATAAATACATAATATATAAGACATTCAATATTAGCAAAATGCAATTAATTTCTTTCACAGAATAAAAACTGCAACCAGTAGCGTTCATCAATGCCAAGACATGTCTTGTAAAGACAAAAAAGGCAAGAAAGTATCATGCAATTCATAATTCAATCAAAGGATTTAGCTCTGGCTTTAAGGAATGTGACTTTGAGGTTGTCAGGAATATTGGACCAAAGGCTGCGTTCAGCCAGTAAACACCTTTGAACATCTGCAAAACAACTAACTATCTAAATTTTTCTTCAACCAAAAACTACTGAACACACAACCTGTGAAGGCAAATTCAACTTAGAATATATATGCAGTTGAATGTGACACCCAGAGTTTATCGTTTGGCAGCAGGACTTTTTTTTGTGTTTGTTTTTCCCATAAAACGTTGTCTTCTTCATTTTCACCATGACCATTGCCAGTAAACTTGGTTCTAACATCAGTTTTGTCAACTCACAAGACTGACAAGCTGTATGTGAGAAGAAAAGGTCAAAAGAGGAGTTCTATTTCATTATAAAAATAGCTATGTTCACGTGATAAATATGATTGTTCAGAATTCATTTCATTTCCCTGTTTTTCTCCAAGGCACTTTTCTTGGTTCTCTTTATTTCTTCAGGTCTGTTGAAATCTGTAAAAGGAAACAATGATTGACATGAGCAAAAAATTACTTCAACACAATAAGCCTTAATAAAACACTGTGGGATGCTGGTAAAACGTCTGAAATACATACTAGAAATACATGATGGAGGACTGATGTATGCAAAAATAAAAGGGGGCATTAGAAAGTGCTGATGTTATTTATTTGTTTGTTTGTTTGTTTAATAATAATATGTTTTATTATCCACCTAGATATCTCATGTTTTATGACCGCACACCTTTTTTTACAACGCAATTATAAATGCAAGCTATAGCTAGAATTAGTTTTTACAAGACAGGATAAAAAGATCTAAAATAAACCTTGTGATTATATAGTTTATGCTCCTCAAAGGCACAATAGTGTGGGTACAAATCAACACAGAAGAGCAAATTGTGCAAGACAGATGGTGAAAGGACTGAAGGTTTAATGTTACACTGAGAACTAAAGCAGTGTCATTAAGAAAAGGGCCATTGTCCATAAGTGTGGCTCATAAACTTCAAATGGTTAACATGCCTTTTACAGTCAATTGAGAATGTAATACCCGATTATATTCGTGAACTTTCTTTGACAGATGGTACTGGTGCCACAGTTTGACCTGTTTTTGATTTTCTTATGTGTTTTTGTTCAATTAGAGGAACATTGCAGCATTTAACTAACTTAAATATTTTAGATAATTCTACAATCTATTTGTATTTATGTCTATTTCTATCAGCCAGTCAACTCACAGACCACATTCTGAGAACTTCTGCACTAGAAACTCCACCAGAACAGCCTTTTAGCTAAAACGTGAAAACCCTTTCATTCCAGTCAGGTGAAGTAAAAGCTAATCTGTGTACTCCGTAATATTAGAAAGGTCATAAAACAGTTAGGTGTAATATTTCTCATGTAGAGTTACGTTTAATACTTCTGTACGTAGATTTCACTCTGTGTGTGTAACCAGAAACTGTCTATCATGTTCTTTTTTTAGAATGTAGTAGCAAGAACGGTGGGATGATTGTCTCCTTGAAAATAAAAACCAGACATTAGATCACTTAGTGTGTGTTCTAAGCAAATATTTCCATAACAAACATTTTAGCAGTAATACATCACAGCGGAATATAGCGGACACAAGTTTTCTATTAAATCTGTGTATACATTAACTATTCACCTGCAGCATCTATCCCTCTGAGCACCGCTGGCTCCCTGCTAGTCTTGTAAGAAGCCTGGCACATCTTTTATAATCTAGAAAAAGACAAAAGAGAGTTAGACAGATTTAAGACATGTACCATAGAAAATCATAGTCAAAATAGAGTAAAAACATCATCATCAAAAACTGCATGCAAAATCATTCACCTGAATACATGGCAAAACAGTTCAGATCAATCATTAAAATTAGGCTAAATATTTCTCACACTCCCATAGCTTCTGTAGTCATGCTAATGGTATTCAATGAGGTGGCACTCACAGGCTGGTATTGTGCAGTCCCTGGTATTATGATACAGTTTGTAAAAGTGTTTGCTGCATTTGGGACTAAAATAAAGTGGCCCTGCAAATATACAAAAGACAGATTTTAAATTGCTGTCAGTTCATAAACATAATGAAGAAAGTGCACAGAGATACTGACACTTGCTCACCTGTTAAATGTTTTAAAAACTTCTCCTTCTGTCGAAGATCTCTCGGAAAGACCTCTGTTAAAATGGAGAAATTCCTCCGGTTATTATTTATATTTGTTGGTCACAAGACCCAACAGATCAAATAACCACTACTGTATTCCTACAAGTATGGAGCAGTTCTCATTAGTGAGTGAATGTGGTGATGCTTACCAAGAATGCGTTCGTGCTGATATGACTTTGTAACTTTATTAACGTCTTTTGTTTCCACCGAGTGCTCAACGATCTCGAGGGGATGCTGTGTGTTTCCCTCACTGTGATGCTCCTGTGCTAGTCTCACTCTGTCCCTTAGGAGGTCCAGCAGAATGGTGTCGTCCCTGTCTCTTGGTCTGCAGTAGCTGGTGGTGAGGATCAGCAAAAGGAGCCCTATGAAGACAGGTGTGCGCACTGCACTCATGCTGAAAGGTGGGCAAAGGGAGCCCCTCTGCCCAGCGTCCAGTCGTATAGCCCTGCAAACACAACAAGATAATTTCAGTGCCCTGGCACTTATACTTGATTCATATAAATCTGCTTAAAGTATGCCATGAATATGTAATTGAAACGTAATTTCTAAAAACTTTTAAAGATTTTAGGTTAAAATGTATATGAATGTACGCTTAAATGAATTTGTACAATTATTGTATTATATTATATTATTATATTACAATATTTTTTAAACAAATATTCTGGGAGTCTTTCAGTTAATACATTGTAAAAAAAATATTATAAAGTCTTAAATTAAACAGATTATTGGAGTATGTTAAAAAAAACTAAATTTTTACTTTAAAAATTTAATCCAATGCGTTTAATTCAATGTGTTACTTGTTTTCAATGAATAAGGTCGTAAAAGCTGCATGAATAATAATTATAAAATAATTAGCAAAAAGCTGTTTAAATTAGTTTTAGATGACATACAGCAGGATGTCAACTTCTCACAAGTATTTTTATGTCAACTACATCCTGACAAATGCTTAAGGTTTGTTAATAATTAAATAATATCCAGCTAAAATAGGCAAGCAGAGTATATTAGCACTATTATCCCTCTCCCCTTAATATTAAGTTATAATGTGCTGTAAATTAACGTGCAAGTTTTCGATTCACTTAAAAACAAGTAAATGTAGCTTCAGGCACTGTCCGATATCTCTAAGCGATCACAGCATCACACCGATCCACGCAAGAATCCCGAGTTTTCTCCACTTTTACGCACGAACGCTCTTGCGCAAAGACCCTTTGGAAACAAGTGTTTGTTTGAAAAAGTAACAAATTACCTGTTTTTCTTCAATGCAGATTTAGTTTACACTTGTTTGACAGCCTTCCCGCCTGTTTAAAGATTAATAATGTTAACACAAAACACATCAAATAGACTCTGCTGGCGTCGCCTCTCCAAAGGTACTTCCACAGGCTCTAGCTCACCATGACACAAGGAGAGCGAGTCTATTTTATATGTCTAAAGACAGCCGTGGTCATCTGTTGATCGTGTTGACTCGAAGTGGGTGGAAAATGATGAAAGTCCGCAGCTTTTTATTTATTTATTTATTTCCCCCCTCCGGTGCGTAAAGTTGCTTCAGATCATCCGGCATGGGTTCCTCACTCTTTATTGTCAGTTGCAGACGTAAGGAGCTGTCCCATGTGGATTACCCCGGCATGTCTTTAATTAGAAACGCGTTAAGAGCACTCCTTAAAAAATGCATTTTAATTTTGTTGGATCACCGTCTCGGAACGCGCATCCTCCAGTGGTCCAATTTGGCACGAGTAGAAAGATTCTCACCAGAAGTGTTTTCTCTGTCCTAATGCCTCTTTGTACCTTCTTATGAAGTACGTGCGCGCGGTGCTTCTCTCCTCCTTTATTTTTAAAGTTTCCCCAAAGAGGATGCTGCAGTTTTGTATTTTTAGCCCAAAATATCAAAACCATCACGGTAAGAGCTGGAGTGGGAAGGCAGAATATCATGGAGACTATCCATAGCAGCGTCTATGAGAAGACTGAGGCCTTCTCTAATATTGGTTTCGTTCTCAATCTCGACATTATACCACTCCCTTTGAGAATAGAAAAAAAATCACTCATATTTAATTCCCCTCCTCTTTGGCTCGCAAACGGTTTAAATAAGGGTTGCACACCATTCTGCCGCGCGCTTCCATGTCCGATGATGATAATCAGGATTATATACCTTGGGAACTATTATTAAGCATGTTGCATGTATTTATCTGGGATAACGTGATGCGGTGTCGAGGCACAGCTCAACAGTGCCACACAGTGAATACGTTAGTTTGAATGATGAGTGTTATGAAATGTTTACAAGGTACATTGTAGAGATTTCAAATAAAAAAATACAATTCTGTCATCATTTAATCACACTGTTGTAGTTCCAAGCCTGTATGACTTTCTTTCTTCTGTGGAAGAGATAAATAAAAGAGTGATAAAGAAGATAAAAAGAGTGTTTCCCTTTATATATATATA